ATATATATACATGTTTCTTGAGATTGCCAAACAAGGTGAATTATTTAAATTTTGAAACAAACTCAAGTATTGTTTAATAGTAATATATATATTTTTTTAAAGTTAGGCTTAATAAAAATAATTTTGAATTCAGTATTATATAGTTGCCAAATTAAATCGCCGTCCGTCACTTTAAAATAAATACACTAAATCATGGTTTTTTTAAAAGACTAAAAATAACCGATCAAATTAATATAACATGGGTTCTCAAAATAATGAGACTAAGCTGAAATAATTAGATCGTCATATAAAAAAAATTGTTAGTCAACATACTATGGTGACCAAATAAAAATTTAAAATTTTAAGGGTGTCGTAGCGACGCGACAAGTAAAAATTTCCTTTGAAGAGTTAAAAGTTTTCGGTCGCTATAGTCTGGAAAACTGATTTATTGAAGAAGTCGCCAAATGATTATACATCTGAATATGTTGGAGTAATAAATGTGGTAACAACATTTATTGTTTCTAATATCAGACAAATAAAGACTTTAACTTAGAAATATTAGGTCAACGCTTAAATAGATTCTAAAAACAGTAATGTGCATTCCATGTGAACTGTTGAGAATGTTTGATTGCCCCTTACATCGCACATGTATTGCACATGCTTGTTTGTATTAATTTAACTAGACTAACATTTAGATACTACATTAGCTTTAATATATGAGAGATCAAAATGGAAGGTATATCTACTCAACAAAGAGATTTGAATATTATCCGATATATGAGTCAAAGCTGACTCGTCTGTGGCCGTTCACTGCATTACTAAGGGTGGAGGATCATGGGCGATTCAAATCACTCTTAGATAGATCAGACACCTCTCATTTAACCGTGGTAGTGTTTTCTATATTTACCGTGAGGAAAATCAGGTAACTGATTCACTTACATCCGGGGGTTGGAACCAACACCATTATTAGGAGTATGGACCGCTTGATCTACAACGACGATTTCGTGCTCTTGTATAGATTGAATGATATGAACTTCTTAGTTTTAGAGGACATTAGTTTGCTTTTCACTTGCTTTCTTTGTATAGGAAGTAGTACTTCCCCATTTATTTAATTCTTTTATATATTGCATTGTTTTGCTTTTGGGAGGTTAGGTTTATGCCCCCTTCCTTTTGTAAGTTTGATTTTATATACGGTCGGACATCCTAAACACCCATTAACCTTTCTTGGTAGAGTCTAAAAGCTCACTGAGTATTTTGCTAAAAAGAGGAAAAAAAAAAACATAGGGATTTGAATATGAAAATTATAAGGTTATTGACTTATTCGTCTGTAAGCCTAAAGATGTTTTTATTATGCATATAAAAGGAAACAGTGAATGCAAAAAAGGGGATGTGGAAATATTGAGATAATGAAAATTGAGAAAGTAAATAACAGGAAAATTACTTATCTTGAACTGTTTTATCTTCATTCTCATTAACCCCATCTGTCATCTTTTCATCCTCACCCTGCGAAGTATCACCCTCCTTTAGAGATATTGCAGTTTCACTCAACTTGGCATTTCCATCAGCTACAGTACTAGCAGATATTCAATTTCATTGCCTGGTTCTTTCAACTTATCTGTAACTATTTTATCCTCATTCTGTAAAATTTACAACATTGTTCGTGTGTAAGCCCGAGATGGTTTTATTGTGCATATAAAAGGAAACATTGAATACAGAAAATGGGTCTTGGAAAGATTGAGAGAATAAAAATCGAGAATGTAAATAAGAAGAAAATTAATTGTCTTTAACTTCTTTGTCCTCGTGTTCATTCTCATTAACCATGTGTGTAATCTTTTCATCCTCACCCTGCAGTGTATCACCCTCCTTTAGAGGTATTGCAGTTTCACTCAACTTGGCATTTCCACAAATCACAGTACGAGCAGAAACAATTCCATTGGCATTGACTAGTTCTTTCAGCTTATCTTTTAACCGTTTTATCATCATTCTCATTAACCACATCTGCCAAATTTTCGTCCATTCCCTGCGCAGGAGCACCCTAATGTAGAGGTATTGCAGTTTCACTCAACTAGGCATTTCCATCCATTACATTACTAGCAGAAACAATTCCATTGCCTGGTTATTTCATCTTATCTTTTAACTGCTTCATCCTCATTCTCATTAACCACATCTGTCATCTTTTCACCTTTTGTTGAAGATAATACTTCTATCTATTTTTAAATAAAACTATTTATAGATACTTCCCAAACATGCTCTTATATATTTCCTTTTTTGGTTTTTTTTGTTCAATGTTATTGCTCAATGACAGGTGGACTCGAGAAACACCTTCTAGCTCGGGGAGCAAGAGACTAATCGAAGAGTGTTGGCTTGATGCGGAACCTATTTTAAAATTTCGAGTTCCTCCGCCAAGGGCAGTGCTGGGGCTCAAAACCGTGAACCATTACATAGAATGTTCTATAAAACGGAACTATTGTTATCAACCGTCATTATCTACAACAGCCCAAAGAACAATCAACTGGATATGCCAAGAGTTGATTGTAACAGATGCACACAAAAGCAGGATAAGAAATAAAGTCTATTTTAAGCGGTTTAAGTCAAATGAGCTTCTGTTTTTAATAGAAATTCTAGTTCTATCTACATTTTCTTCGCTTGATTCACAATTTTTATTTGTATATTATTTTGATGTAGGATGGAAATGGTAAACATATTTCACTGTACTCGAAAATAGTGTTGTTCAGTAATTGTCAAGTGCCTTAGTCACATTTTGTGTTTTTTTAACTGGGCAGTTATAATTTTTTTTTCCCCGAAGGAAAACATATGAGATATTACTCTATAAAATGAATTTATTGAAGAAGTTTCCAAACGAATATACATCTGAATATGTTCAAACAAAAATATGTGGTAGACAACGTTTATTGTTGCTAATATCTGATAAATAAAGACTAAAATTTAGAACTATTACATCAACGCTTAAATATATTCTAAAAACATGAATGCTCAAGAGCACACAGTTGTTGCATGACTAGAAAGACAAAAGAATACTTACGTCTAGTAATTCTAGCAGGTCTTCACACTAATGTAATCGCAACATAACACAACACGGCCTAACAAAATTCACAGTAACACAGTGCCCAAAGCTTGTACGAGGAGAAGTCCTTTAAAACTGACTCATTTTGACCAAGCCATAAACTAAAAACCTAGACATAATAGTAAATTTAAACACTGAGAGTAAAGAAAAAATATATGGAATTCACAACGCTGACTAGGATTACTAAAAGTATCTCCATATTTTTCTCCAATAGGACACATCAAGTATGATTATTGGGTTCAAACAGCTCTACACAAGGATTTGGATCATACTACAAGAACTTGTTGGGAAGTCATCCTATCGAGTTCAATAATAAGTGACTTAAATCATTCCTCTTAATGAAGATTGTAGCGGAAGCTCAGTTTCACGTTACCTTTCTCTACCAAACAACCAATCCAAACGGCTCCAATCCACAACCAATATATTCATCTCGGTTGCTTCTCAATCTCACACACAAATGACAAGATAACGGTGATGATTTGTAAGCCACAAAGGCACGAAAAATACAATGGAAGAAGACACAAAGAGGAGGCCAAATACACAAAGAAAGCCACAGGTTTTTCACTCCTTAAGGCAGCCTTTTTCAGCAAGAAGGGAGCCACGTATTCTCTCAATTTCATGCACAAATCATACACTAATGGCTAGGGTAAAAGGCAACATATATATAGGCTAGGTTAAGCTTTAGTTGGACCAATAAAATGTTTAAATGGGCCAAGTTTCAAAGCCATCAAAAGGTTACATGAGAAACATTAATTCTTTAAGCTACTTCCAAAGGCCCATGTTGTTTTTCTTGTTAAGCCTTTGGACTTGGTTGTTGGTAACAATTTAATCCAACGTTTAAATCATAGCCCATGATTCATTGGGTATCAAAATCCAACAAAGATCACCTTTCAAGGTGAATTTTAGAACTCGATAAGGTATCATAGCAAAATATAATTATGCTATACTTGTTACTACTCAGACCAAGATCATGGGATTATTCAACTGGATCCTTTATGCATATCAAGTGACAGTCATTACCAATTCTTCTAGTCCAATCTTTAGCTATCTTTCTCAGTGTGCAACCTGTTCAATCAGATATAACATCATTGACATAATCATGACAATAGGTCAAATAGTGGAATAAGGCCCAAACCAACTAAGCAATACTTTTCCATTTCCAGTACCAAAAATCAAGAAGCTTTTCTACATGATCGAAATAAGCAAATTCATCAATGTCTATAGTTACAGATTAAGTGATTTCCATTCTCTGCAAGCATGAAAGAATAAAACTTTTGCTCACTTAGTAAAGGACTGATCGTAATGTGACTTTGACATATCTCCTGCCACAGACAATTGATACATGGAACTAATGGAAATATGGAGTAATGGAGTGCAGAAATGTATTTGTTTGGTGAAGTTTCCTTTTTCTTTTAAAAGTTTGATTTGACTTTTTGTTTCTACAATGCCAAAGGCTTTCCACAAATTTGCTTTAGCTCTACAGCTTCCATTCTTTACTTTTTTCTTGATATAGATATGATCTAGAATCTGTGTTCTTTACAATATATATTTAGAATATTGTGTGTGGCTTGTTGCCAGGAAGGGAAAAAAAATAAAAGGAATGTGTATTCCACTTGCACTGTTGAGAATGTTTGATTGCCATTAACATCGCACGTGTATTGCACATGCTTGTGTATATTAATATAACTAGATGATACTGCAATAGGTTTAACATATGAGAGATCGAAATGGAAAGTGTATCTACTCAACAAAGGGATTTGGATGTGAAAATTATAATATTGTTGGTGTGTAAGCCCAAAGATGGTTTTATCATGCATATAAAAGGAAACAGTGAATACAAAAAATGGGTCGTGGAAAGATGTGGTAATGAAAATCGAGAATGTAACTAACAGGAAAGTAACTTATCTTTAACTGTTTCATTCTTATTCTCATTAACCTAATCTGCCATCTTTTCATTCTCATCCTGCGCAGTATCATCCTCCTTCAAAGGTATTGCAGTTTCACCCAACTCGGCAATTCCAGCACTTACAGTACTAGCAGAAACAATTTCGTTGACTAGTTCTTTCGGCTTATCTTTGACTGTTTTATCCTCATTCTCATCAACCATGCTGCAATCTTTTCTTCCACACCTTCTGCAGGATAACCCTCATTTAGAGGTATTGCAATTTCACTCAACTTGGTATTTCCATCCTTTACAGTACTAACAGAAACAATTTCATTGCCATTTATTTGAGTTTATCTTTAACTATTTCATCCTCATTCTCATTAACCACATCTGTCATTTTTGGTCTTTCGTTGAAGATAATACTTCTATCCATTTTAATTTAAACATTTAATAAGCACTTACCAAACATGCTCTTTTATATTTCCCTTTCAGGATTTTTGTTCAATTTTATTGCTCAACGATGGACAGACTCGAGAACCTCCTAGCTCGGGGAGAAAGAGACCAGTTGAGGAGTGTTAGCTTGATGCTGAATCGATATTAAAATTTCGAGTTCTTTTGCCAAATTGAGCAGTGCTGGGGCTTGAAACAGTGAACCATTATATAGAATGCTGTATAAAACAGAACTTCTGTTATCAACCATCATTATCTACAACAGCCCGAAGAAAAATCAACTGAACATGCCAAGAGTTGATTGTAACAGACACATACAAAAACAGGATAAGACATGAAGTCAAATTGTAAGAGGTTTGAGTCAAATGAGTTTCTGCTTTCAAAAGAAATTTTAGTGATATCTACGTTTTCTTTGCTTAATTCAATCTTTTTAATTTTTCTGTTCATTTGATATAGGATGGATATGGTGAATATCTTTCAGTGTATTTCAAAACTAGTGTTAGGTAATTGTCAAGTGCCTTAGTCACATTTTGTGATTTCTTAACTGGGTGGTTATCATTTGTTTTTGTTTAACACTAACATATGGGATGTTACTCTAGAAAATGGATTTATTGAAGAAGCTCCTACAATACGGATTTATTGAAGAAGCTTCCAAACAAGTATGAGGGGCTCCGGAGCCCAATGAAGTCCAGTGCAGGCACAGGCCTCCACTGAAATTTTAGGCCTAACCCAATGGCCCAATTTTATTTATTTATTTTAATGATTAGCCCATGTCAATTCATCTGCTCTGCCTCCACCTCCTAATCCTGGCTTCACTCTTTCTCAAAACCCATACCCATTACCCACTCCTTCAACCCGTTGCTGCTCCTGCTCACCTCCATCCCTATTTGAGCCCTAGAAGGCAAGTCAGCAACCGCTAGGCGCAGGCGATTCTTTGGCAGCAGCAGAAGAGAAAGGTGTTGTACAATTGATTTGGCTACCAAACTTCCAGTTCCTTCCAGTATTGCTTCCTGCCTGCTTGCCTGCCTCTGTGAGTGTGAATTGTTGCTTACTCTGTCACTGTAATTTGTGAAGTGTGAATTGTACAAGTTCTGGAAGTAGTATTGCCCTGTGAATTGATTATAGTATTGACATGTGAATTGCTTTGCAGCCTTTGCTTTTGTTGCTAGTATTTGTAATTCTATTTTTGTCATTCTAAATTACTCACAGTAATAATTGGATATCTAATATTTAAATCCAGATATCAAATGAAGAGATTCTTTCAAAGTAAAACTAATGTAGACAAATGTCGATGGGGGATGTCAAATAATGTGGAATTTGATGTCACAAAACTTCCAATTGAGAGTATGAAAACTCGTAAGGAATAAGTGTAATTTATAAACTATGTCATTTTTAGTATTGTCGTAATATTATTTTATATTTTTATCATCAATAAATCCATAACCAAAAACTCGACGTTCGGCTTTGATAAAATTGCTCGCACCGAGTTACTTTCTTGGCTCCTCCCTTGTATACATTTGCATATGTTGGAACAAAAGTATATATGGTAAACAACGTTTGTTATTAATAATATCTGATAAATAAATACTTAAATTTAGAACTATTAAGTCAAAGCTTAAATAAATTCTAAAAACATGAATGTACAAGAGCATAGAGTCATAGGCACAAATGATTTGTTAGATTACTAGCCAGCCACAAGAATACTAACATCTAGTACATCTAGCTGGTCTTCATACACTAATAACTGGAACATAATGCAGCCTGAAAAAATTTCACAATAACACGGTACCCACAGCTTATACGAGGAAAAGTCCTGTACAATCGACTCGTTTTGAACAAGCCTGAAAATAAAAAACTTAGATACAGTAATAAATTTAAACACGGAAAATGTAGAACAAAGATTGGGAATTCACAACGCTGACTAGGATTACTGAAAATATCTCCATATTTTACATGAAGAGGAGGAGGCCACATCAAGTACGAATATAGTGTTTAAACAGCACCACACAAGGATTCGGATCATACTACACATTTTCTGCGTCTCATCCAAACTCTTCCCTGGGAACTCTTATGCTATACTTGTTAACCACTTGACCAAGATCGTGGGATAATTCAAATGGATCCTCTATGCATATCAAGTGCGGTCATTACTAATTCTTCTAGTCCAATCTTTAGCTCTCTTGCTCGCGAATCCAGTTCGAACAGATATAACATAATTTCCATAATCATGACAACAGTCCCAATAGAGGAAAAAGGCCAAAACCAACTAAGCGATACTTTTCCTGTTCTGGGACCCAAAGAAACGAAGCTTTTCCACTTGATCGAAATAAGAGCATTCAACAGTCTAGAGTTACAGAGTAAGTGATATCCATTTCCTGCAACCAAAGAATAATAATGTTTTTGCTGACTCAGTAAAGGACTGATGGTACTATAAACACGAGGTCCTTGGACTCTCAGCATTTCCCCTGCCATGGACAATTTAGACATGGAACTAACGGAAATTGTTTGGTGAAGTTTCCTTTTTCTTTTAAAAGTTTGATCGACTTTTTGTTCCTACAGCACCATAGGCTTTTCACAAATTTGCTTTAGCTCTACAGCTTCTATTCTTTACTTTTTGCTTGATACAGATATGTTCTAGAATATGTGTTTACCAGTTATATTTTAGAAGATTGTACGTGGCTTTGTTCCCAGAAAGACAAAAATAGGAATGCGCATAGCACGTGCATGGTTGAGAATGTTAGATTGCTACATGCGTATCGCACATGCTTGTTTGTATTAATATAACTAGATTAACATTTAGATACTGCAATAGGTTTAATATACAAGAGATCAAAATAGCAGGTGTATCTACTCACGAAAAGGGATTGGATGTAAAAATTATAAGATCATTGGCATGTAAGCCAGAATATGGTTTTATTGTGCATATAAAAGGAAACAGTGAATACAGAAAATGGGTCATGGAAATATTGAAATAATGAAGATCCAGAATATAAAACAGGAAAATTACTTATCTCTTTCATCCTCATTCTCATTAACAACATCTGCCCTCTTTCATCCTCACCCTGCGCATCACCCTCATTTAGAGGTATTGCAGTTTCACTTAACTTGGCAATTGGCATTCCATCGGGTACAGTACTAGCAAAATCAATTTCATTGCCTGATTCTTTCAGTTTATCTTTAACAGTTTCATCATAATTCTCATTAACCACATCTACCATATTTTCATCCTTTAGGATCGCCCTCATTTTGAGGTATTGCTGTTTAATTCAACTTGGCATTTCCATTTGTTACAGTACTAGTCATTTCAGCTTACCTTTAACTGTTCCATCCCATTCTCATTAACCACATTTACCATCGTTTTGCCTTAGTTGAAAATTATATTTAAATGATATACATTTAATGTGATCTAATAGTTTAAGATTTTAGATCAAGTGATTCAACGTAGAACTAGAAAATGCGAAGGTCTTGTGCTCAAGTTCACCGCTATCCATTGAAATAAATGGTCCACGTATTGGCTTTAATAAGAAAAAAATAAATCCACCTACAAGTCGGGGGTGTGTTCAAGATAATATTTAAACAACATAAATTTGGCTCGAAGTTTGCTTTAATTGATTGCTGGAAACATCTTCAACCGTTCCAGAAATTACTTTATTTGAACTTTTCATTGAATTAAAATTAATAAAAATTCCCATTAAGCGTGAATGCTTGATTAAAATGGATATACTGCACCTGACTATAGGACTCCAAATCAAGCTACATTGAGATCAAATTAAGTAGAAATTAATTATAATGTAAGAATGTATAAGTAGGTTTGTGTTGTACTAACCATACACAGAATCGTATTTTGTTGTGATTTATCCACCGTGAGAATTAATGTAGTTGCGCATTATACATGCACTTATGTACCATGTTAGCTTTCCATTTACATTGCATGTGTGTTGCACATCAGTTAAATAATGCAATTGAAATGAATTGACTCTACATGCTTTGATAGGAATGTAAGAGATAAGCAAACGAGGGTTTATGAATTTAGTTGAAACTTAGAAAAGTTCTCTTATATCCTCCATTACATACAATAAAAAATCCATTACTCTTTAGGTAACATACTTCTACACAATTTGGCAAATTTATTGTTTGCAGGAGGCATAAAAAGTTTTCAAATAGAAGCCCATTAGATTGTATCATCGTCCTAAGAAAATATAAACCAAATAACTCACGGAGATAGATCATCTTCCTCTTTTGTGGAGTCAGTTCATTAAGTTAAGATGATACCTCAAATTTTCACTATGATTTATGTCGCTTCCACTACAAAAGGGTAAGGGCTCTTCTTAGACAATGTTTAATCTCTCGAATGTTTCCTTCATGAAAATGATAATATAAAATACACTTATATAATCAAAGTGCATTGTTGAGAATGTTTTATTGCCAATTACTACACATGCTTGTTTGTATTAATATAACTAGATTAACATTTAGATACTGCATTAGGTTTAATATACAAGAGATCGAAATGACAAGTATATCTACTCAACAAATGGATTCTATTGTAAAAATTATAAGATCGTTGGTGTGTAAGCCCAAAGATGGTTTTATTGTGCTTATAAGGAAACAGTGAATATAGAAAATGCGTCGTGGAAAGATTGAAATAATGATGATCGAGAATATAAATGACAATAAAATTACTTACCTTTAAATGTTCAATCTTTATTCTCATTAACAACATCTGCCATCTTTTCATCTTCATCTTGCCCAGTATCACCCTCATTTAGAGGTACTGCAGTTTTACTCATCTTGCCATTTTCCTCAATTAATGTACTAGCAGAAACTTGTTCCTTCAGCTAGCTTTAACTGCTTCATCCTCATTCTCATTAACCACATCAGCCATCTTGCGTCCTCACCTTGTGCAGGATCACCCTCGTTTAGAGGTATTGCATTTTCACTCAGTTTGGCATTTCCATCAATTGCAGTACTAGCAGAAACAATTTCATTGCCCAGTCATTTCAGCTTCTCTTTAACTGTTTCATCCTCATTCTCATTAACCACATCTGCCATCATTTTTTCGTTCTTTGAAAATAATATGTAAATATACATTTGGTTCGATCTAACAACTTAAACTTTTACATCAAGTATTTCAACAAGGTATTACAACATGTGATCACGGCTACCAATCGAAATGAATTGTCCACGTTTCGGGCTTTGACATGAAAAAAAAGATATTCCTACACGTGAGGGGGCATGCTATGGTAATAGTCAAATATTATACATTTGTTCCGATCTAACAACTTAAGTTTTTAGATTAACTGGTTCAACACTTAGCTATTCACAAATTCAATTATCATTAATTTACCGCATTGGAATTATAGGTAAATCCAGAAAATTAAATAGTCTAGAGCGATCATTAGCATGTACTGTTAATTAAAGACGGTTAGATAATTTTGTTCAGTGTTCAATCGCTTCAAGCCTAGTGTTGTATGTAATTAGTTGCCTGACTACCAAGTAGGGGTGGGCGCAGGTCGGTTCGGTTCAGTTCAGTTCGATTTTTTTTGGTTCCAGAAATTTTCGGGTATTTAGTAAATGGAACCGTCGGTTCCAAATATAATTTTGGAACCGTTCGGTTTCGGTTCGGTTCGGTTCGGTTCCGTTTGGTTCCATACTATAATTAAAATTTTTAACATTTAAAATAATACTACATAAATATACCTTAAAGTGGATACCAATATTAATAACAAAAAGTAGATACAAATACCNAATATAAATTAGAAGTCACAAATATAAAATATTTTAAAGTATTGATAATACTTACCAACTATTTAATGTAATTATTAGTTGGTTGACTTTCCATACTAACTATTAAGAAACTATATAAAAAAAAATTGAAAAAAACACAACTAACAAACATAAATAAACTCTAAATTGTTCAACTAATAAGATTTAATAAGAAAAAAATTATTAATTTGTTTAGAAAAAATAAAAGAAATTGATTTATCCAATATAAAAAAAAAAAATTCGGTTCTTATTCGGTTCTTTGATTTTTGGTCGAGAACCGAACCAAACCATTCGGTTCTCGATTCGGATACCTGCTCAGGTATTTCATTTTAAAAAATCCGCTCGGTTCGGTTCGGACATTTTGCCCAGCCCTACTACCAAGGCGACACAATAAACATGTAATTTGCTTTATTTTATTTCTGGCTACATCCTCAACCGTTCTAGAAATTACTTTATTGAAAATTTTGATTTCATTAAATTAATAAAAAATCTCATTAAGTGCGAACAGATAAAAAAAAATGGATATGTCCCTGAATACAAGACTTTAATCGAACTACATAGAGATCAAATTAGGGATAAATTAGTTATAGTGTAAGAACGAATAAGTTGCTTCGTGTTGGACAAACGTGGACTTGTGTAGCATGTTTGATTTTCATTTACATTGTGTTATGTTTTATATGCGATGATTAGATGATAAATAATAGAGAAGTGAAAGAGATAAATCAACACACATATTTAACGTTGTTCGTCAATGTGCCTACGTCCACGGGAGCAAAGCGGAGATGGTATTATTATTTGAATAATAGGTTACATCATCTATATATATAACCCTAACATTAGCCCATACAAGATTTTAGAAAAAGTCCGAAAATACCCTGTACAGTACCATTGGGGCATTGCCTCCACACCTCCAATTTATTAAGCGTCCCCTGACAAAAAAAACAGTAAATTAAAACCGGAGAAGGCCGATGCCGTCGCATTGCTCCACTCCGCTCCGGCATCAACCTATTCGTTCCAGTAAACATGTGCTCTAATCTATATGAGCCACATACACAACACATTGCACGTGTCTTGCACATTCTTGTTAGATAATTCAATTGAAGTGAATTGATTCTACATGCTTCAATTGGAATGTAAAATATATGCAAACTTAAATGGTTCACGATTTAGTTGAAACTTAGAAAAACTTCCATGAAAATTGTCATCTAAGTATTTATAAGCTCATAAACGGACATGTATTGACAACATATAGATCCAGCACTAAATCACTAATGGTGCTTCAGGTTCATAGCTGATCCCCAAATTCTGTTTATGTAAGTTTACCGAGACAAAATTTTTAGCTAAATGCAGACCCTCAAAAATATAATGCCATCATTTGCATTAGTGGTAGAGAAGGTTGAAGAACAAAGTAATATTATTCACAGAAAAATTAATTATCTCTTAGTGTTTTATCCTCATTCTCATTAACCTTTTCTGCCATCTTTTCATCCTTTCAAGTAACTCATGGAGATAGATCATCTACCTCTTTCGTGGAGTCAGTTCATTAAAGATGATACCTCAAATCTTCACTTTCATTTCTCTAGCTTCCACTACAAAAGGGTAAGGACTCTTCTCATTTAATGTTTTATCTCTTGAATTTTGCTTCGTTTAAATGATAATATAATCAGTTATATAATTCAAGTGCACTGTTGAGAATGTTTCATTGCCAATTACAATACACGTGTATTGCACATGCTTGTTTGTATTAATATAACTAGATTAATATTTAGATACTGCATTAGGTTTAATATACAAGAGATCGAAATGATAAGCGTATCTACTCAACAAAGGGATTTTTATGTAAAAATTATAAGATCGTACATTGGTGTGTAAGCCAGAAGATGGTTTTATTGTGCATATGAAAGGAAACAGTGAATGCAGAAAATGCGTCATGGAAAGATTGAAATAATGATGATCGAGAATATAAATAACAATAAACTTAGTTATCTTTAAATGTTTGATCATCATTCTCATTAACCACATGCCATCTTTTCATCCTCACCTTGCGCAGTATCACCCTCATTTACAGGTACTGCAATTTTACTCTGTTAATAGGATTTCATCTTAAAAGGTCAACCTTAATAAGAAGAGTAGCTCAAACTCTTATAAATTGGTTTATATTTTCATCTTTATTTGATGTAAGATTTATCCCTTAACATGCCCTCTCAAGATGGTGGCTTGTTTGAACAGACCAATCTTGAAATCCGTGTGTTCAATTTTCTTTGAGTCTTAATCCGATGGAATTGCTCATTAAAACTTAATGGGCTCTAATGCCATATTAAGATTTGGGGTTCCATCTTAAAATGTCAACCTTAATAAGAGGAGTAGCACAAACTCTTATAAATTGGTCTATGTTTTATCTTTGTTTGATGTGAGATTTTATCCATTAACATACTCAACTTGGCATCTCCATCAATTACTGTACTAGTAGAAACTTGTTCTTTCAGCTTATCTTTAACAGCTTTATCCTCATTCTCATTAATCACTTATTCCATCTTGCGTCCTCACCCTGCGCAGGATTACCCTCATTTAGTGGTATTGCAGTTTCACTCAACTTGGCATTGCCCTCAGCTTGTCTTTAACTGTTTCCTCCTCATTCTCATTAACCACTCTGCCATCATTTCTTTGTTCTTTTAAAATAATAATTAAATATATGTTTGGTACGATCTAACATCTTAAACTTTTACATCAAGTGGTTCAATACGGTATCACAATAGGCAAACGTCCTGGACTCAAATCTCACGTCCACCAATTGAAATGAATTGTCCACTTGTTGGGCTTTGACATGAAAAAATAAATTTCACTACACGTGGCGGGGCGTGTTTGTGGTAATATTTAAATAACATACATTTGTCATGATCTAACGGCTTAAGTGTTTAGATTAAGTGGTTCAACACTTAGTTGATCCACAAATCCCATTATCATTAGTTTACCCGCATTGGAATTGTAGGTAAATCCGGACAATTAAATAATTTTTTGCGATCATTAGCATGTAGTGTTAATTAAAGAAGGCTAAAGAATAGATAACTTTTTTATTTTTTTATTTTTTTATGAGTGCTCAATTTCTTCAATTGCTTAAAAATGAAGTTGGGCTTCGATATTGCCCAAGGCGATGCAATAAACATGTAATTTGCTTTAATTGAATTCTGGCTACATCTTCGACCGTTCTAGAAATTACTTTATTGAAATTTTTTATTTAATTAAATTAATAAAAAAACTCCATTAAGCGTGAACTGATAAATAAAATGGATACATGTCCCTGAATAAAAGACTCCTAATCAAGCTACATAGAGATCAAATTAAAGAGCAATTAGTTACAGTGTAAGAACGTTTAAGCAGCTTTGTGGTGCACAAATGTGGACTTGTGTATCATGTTCGATTTTCATTTACATTGCACGAGTCTTGCACATTCTTGTTGGATAATTCAATTGAAATGAAATAATTCTACAAACTTTGATTGGAATGTAAGATATATGCAAACTTAAAAGGTTCACGAATTTAGTTGCAAATTAGAAAAAATTCCCATAGATCCTCCCTATGAAAATTATTATCTTAATATTTATAAGCTCATCGACAGACATTTATTGATGACATATAGATCCAGCACTAATGGTGCTTCAAGTTCATAGCGAATTCCCAAATTAATGTAAATTTATCGGACAAAAATTTTAGATAAATGCAGACCCCCTCAAACATATAATGTGATCATTTGCATTTAGTATTAGAGAAGGTCAAAGAACAAAGTAATATTATTCACAGAAACATTAATTATCTTTAAATGTTTCATCCTCATTCTCGTTAATCACTTCTGCCATCTTTTCATCCTCACCCTGCACAGTATCACCCTCATTTAGAGGTATCGTAGTTCACTAAACTTGGTATTTCCATCTGCAACAGTACTAGCAGAAACAAATTCATTGCCTGGTTCTCTCAATTTATCTTTAACTGTTTCATCCTCATTCTCATTAACAGTATCTGCCGTCTTATCGTCCTCACCTTGTGCAGGATCACCTTCATTTAGAGGTATTGCAAGTCACTCAACGTGGAAGTTCCCTCTGTTAAGTACTAGCAAAAACAATTTCATCGCCTGGTTCTTTCAGTTTATCTTTAACGATTTCATCCTCATTCTCATTAACCACGTCTGTCATCTTTTGTCCTCACCTTGTGCAAGATCACCTTCATTTAGAGGTATTGCATGTCACTCAACTTGGCATTTCCCTCCATTACAGTACTAGTAGAAACAATTTCATTGCCTGTTTATTTCAGCTCATCTTTAACTGTTTCATCCTCATTCTCATTAACCACATCTGCCATCTTTTCTCCCTTATTGAAGAGAATATTTAAATGGTTTACATTTGATCCGACCTAAGAGCTTAATCTTTTATATCAAATGGTTCAACATAGAATTACAGCAAGCAAAGGTCCTTTGCTCAAGTCTCACCGCCGCCCATTGAAATGAATTATCCATGGGTTAAGCTTTGATCTTAAAATAATAAATTCCACTTAATTATATTTAAACAATATACATTTAGTTACATCTAAAAGCTAATATATATGCCCCAAATTTTCTTTAGTTGATTGATGGCAACATCTTCAACCATTATAAAAATACTTTATTAACTTTTAATTTAATTTAATATATATATGTGTGTGTGTGTGTGTGTGTGTGTGTGTGTGTAACTCCAAATCAAGCTACATTGAGGTCAAGTATGTTTGTGTTGTCCATGGTAGAATCATATTTGGATGAGATTCGAAAATTAGTGTGGTTGTGCATTTCACGTGCATTTTTGTAGTATGTATTAGATAACGCAATTGAAATGAATTGATACTACATGCTTTGATTGGAATGTAAGAGATGCAAATGGAAGGGGTTTACGAATTAAGTTGAAACTTAGAAAAAGTTCCACTACAAAAAAAAAAAAAAAAAACTGATTTCACGACAAACAAATGTTGTC